TCTTATTTCCATGGCAACATTTTGAGGTAAGCAGGAAACTGAGGTCATCCAGCCCATGCCTGTCAAAGCTGTGGCCCAAGGAACCCCTCTGCTTTACACCCCTCCCCATTCAACCAACTAAAGAGCAGTCTTAATCTCTTGAATCCCACACCTCTTAGAGACCTCTCCACATTCTCAGCTTTATTTTCTACATTCTGTGTACATTTTCATGGTATTGGTCTCCAAAGAAAACAAGCATATATTTTATATCTCCACCTCTCACACTAAGAGGGGATAAACTTCAAATTCAATTAGTGTTTGTCTAATTAAGGGGTTTGCAAAGTATGATCTATGGGTCAAATCTGGCCAATTGTCTGTTTTTGCATAGCTTGTGAGCTAAGCACATTTTTTTTTGTATTTTTAAATGGTTGAACAAAATCAAAAGAAGAATAAAATTTCATGACATATGAAAGTTATATGAAATTTAAATTTCAGTTTCCATATATAAAGTTCTATTGGAATTCAGCCATGCTCATTCACTTACACAGTGTCCATGGCTGCTTTCATACTAAAAGAGCAGAGTTGAGTGCTACAGACAATAATACTTAAATTCCAAAATATTTACTATCTGGCCCTGCTGTATATGATGGATATTTTCTCCCACTCCCACTTTGCCTTTCCTTATAATTTAAATAAAAAGGCATAAATGGGAAGTTCAGCATCTAGCACACTGCAGGCTCTCAGTTAATGTCACATCATAAAGTTTCCTTAATAAGCTCACCAGCTCCTTCATAGACACCCAAAGGGAAGATTCACAAGCATTGGAATACACTACAACATGAACATCCCACCAGAATTCCAAGATGGTGCCATGGCTGGTGGGAGATCTCTGCCTATTTACTGGAAGGGAACATTTGGTTTTATCTGTTGTAAGTTTCTGTGTTCAAAATGTTTTCTATGGGCCCTGGTTTTAAATGAACATTGAATAATGCTATTATCTTTCAGAAGAGGCTCTGCCTCTCAAGACATTCAACAAGTAAAGATCAGCTACATTCCCCATTCACAGGGGGTTGGCTGGGTGAGTAGGTACATCACAGAGAGTTTCCTACAGACACAAAACGATTCCTACATACTCTATTGGTATCTCAGTTTCAGCGTTGGTTCAGTGTAAATGGTTATAGTCTGAGAAACACTCAATTTGCTATTTATGGCCTTTTTGTTTATCTTTTTAGTTGGAGATTTTCATCTGGTTTCTTTTTTTTTAATATTTTATTTATTTATTTGACAGAGAAGGATACAGTGAGAGAGGGAACACAAGCAGGGGGAGTGGGAGAGGGAGAAGCAGGCTTCCCGCTGAGCAGGGTGCCCGATGTGAGGCTTGATCCCAGGACCCTGGGATCATGACCTGAGCCGAAGGCAGACGCTTAATTGACTGAGCCACTCAGGCCCCCCTCATCTGGTTTCATTGAGCAGTAGAAACCAGGGACAGACAGGTCAAAATCTATTATTTGAATTTGTTTTAGCTGTAGTTGGGTATAGCTAGATGTGATTTTAAGGCTGAAATTGGTTAAATCTTACTCTTCTATTAACTACCTATATAAATCTGTGAAAAGGGTGTTAACATTCCTATTTTCCAGATGAGAAGCTGAGTCACAAACAGGGTGAGACCCTTGCCTAAAGCTACACAGATAAGAGAGTGGGCATTGAATCCAAGTGTCTGTATCATCAAAGACTATGTAGTTCTTTTAGCAAATTAATTTTCTTATGCTAGATCTATTTATCTGAAAAAGGAGGAAAACGATACCTCTTGATGGTTTCATTGTGACAAAAAAAAAAAGGTAGTGCGTATAAGTACTTGATGTACACTAAGTCCACAGCAATTGGTAGTTATTTTATTATTACATTACTATTGCATGAGAATATTTGACTCATGCCACTTTTCTTCATAAAGTCAGTATCTCTTAAATGAGAGCTTTGCACACAACAAAAGGCCGTGGGAGACAAGGACAAGTAGTTACACTCTCCCAACCGAAGTGTCAGGGACTTGAGAGCTACCACCTGCCCTTTCGTGAGGAGCATCCTCCTGTGTTCTCCCTTGATGGCATTTCTCCTCTGTTCAGTGAAAGACATGCTCTAAGACAGGCTTTAGTTCTGTAAGGCCTGTTCGAACAGTTGGAGCTCCTCAGAGGGCGAGGCTGAAGTGGATTTGCCTTTTTGGTTAGTCAACGTTGTCATTAGCTAGAGATGGTGTTTCCTCCCCACGGATGGACTTCACATTCCAGCCTGAGCTTTCAGCAGCCGGCACACTGGTGTCAGAGACTGTACAACCTGTCTCAGATGTGCAGACTCTGTGACCTCATCCACCTGATCAAATGTTGGCCCTTGGAGATTTGTTCTTTTTGAACCGTCATGAACAAAGAAAATTCACATACAGTTTAAAAATCGTATTAAAAATACCATGAAGTTATTCCTTCCCTGCCCCTTCCCCCATATTATATGTCTGTTTGGACTCAGAGACATCTTTCTCTCTCTCTTTTTTTTTTTTTTAAGATTTTATTTATTTATTTGAGAGAGAGAGAATGAGAGAGAGCACATGAGAGGGGGGAGGGTCAGAGGGAGAAGCAGACTCCCTGCCGAGCAGGGAGCCCGATGCGGGACTCGATGCGGGACTCGATCCCGGGACTCCAGGATCATGACCTGAGCCGAAGGCAGTCGCTTAACCAACTGAGCCACCCAGGCGCCCCATCTTTTTCTCTTTTATATTACAGGTTTAAACCAAATACAGATATGGCAGGTGGATAAGATTGAAACAGTTCTTCATTAACTTTGCATGTTACTCTCCGATTATATCATGTGACTAGAAAGCAGCTCATGAAAAAGCGGATAGGGAAACTAATATATTTTTAGTACCTGAGTATTGTTTTAAAATCCATTGAATGATGAGGCACTGAACCTCAGAGATAAGAAAGGACTTATTTATTTACTGTCCTTCAGCTACTAATTGGTGGAGTTGGAATATGAAGCCCTGACTTTCTGGCCAAAAGTCTGTGAGGTCAAGTTCTCTGATATGAAAAACTATTTAAACATTTAAGATAATTGATTTTTTTCATTATTTACAATTATGTACCCACTTTTGTGGGGAAAGACATCTCAAAATTTCATTTATAGCAGAGCCAGAGCTAGAAGTCAAAACCTCTTTCTAGTCCAGTCTGCTTGCAAACTACTACTGAGCCTCCTTGCAGGGCAAAGCACAACTGTCTTTTCTATGCCTGGCTGTATTAAATTCTGTGTGATATGTGTCATTTGTTTTTAAAACATTAGGAAAGGTCAAAGAGATAAATAATGACAGGTAGTATTTATGGAGGGCTCCACTGCCCCATACACAGCTAAGTGGTTTGCAGGTATTACTTCATTTGATACTCAGGGTCTCTAAATATTTTATTATTAATTTTCCAGTTTACATCTTCAAAACCTAAGGATTATGGAGGTTAATCTATTTCAAGTCAAAAAACTAGAAAGTAGTATTTTATAGGATTTGAGCCCTGGTGGTTTGCCTGGCTCTGATGTCTATGCATCTCTACAAGTATGGCTTTGAGCCTTATCCCATTCTTCGCTCTAGCTCCTCCATCCCTTCAGATGACTCCAAATTGTATTTACTCTCCACTTCTTTATTAAATGGCTCTAAGAAGGGTCTTCAATGCTCTAATCTTGCTAAAGCCCGTGTTGTTTATCTATTCTCATCTGAGAATGCACTTCTCAGTAGCATTTAAGGACTGTTCACCTCTTCCCACTTAAGCACTTGGTTTTCTGGGCTCCAACTTACTCACCTGGTCTTGTACCTTCCTCAGTGTCTGGCTCCTTCTTCTCTAACAGATCATGCTCTATTTTCTAGTTATACTCATGTTCTGGATATTCTCACCCAGACTCTCTCTCACTCACATTCATACACATATATGTGTACACCTCTACATACATATACATATAAATAGGTCTCCCATGTGTCTCTCCAGACCAGACCACACTCCCGAACTGCAGACATATACCCAGATACCCGATTGACACCTCCACTTATTGCCTAGTCAGAATCTCAAACTCAACAAAATCCCAAATTGAATTCATGATCCACCCTTCCTACTTCCCAGTCACCATTCTCCAAAACAAAGCTGTTTGCTCCTGACCATTCAGTTTGCTTAAGCCTTGAATTCTAATTTTTCTTGACTCCTTTCTTCCCCTCACAATCTCCTTTGAGTTCATCAGCAAGCCCTCTGGGTTCTGTCTGGACCAGCTACTATTACTGTCTCTTCTACAACAGCCCTACTCCAAACCACCATTTTTCTCCATCAGAGTGATGGGTCCTAACTGTTCTTTCCTCCTCCCCTCTTGTTTCCCTATGGCCTGTTCGTCATTGAGAAGTTAGATGTGATTTTTTTAAAAGGTAAATCTGACAGTGTCACTTTCCTGTCTAAAAAACTTTGCCAGGTTTTAATTTCTAGTTGTTGACTGACTACCCTATATACAGAAGTGTTAATAAGCAACATATGAAGTTAGTTCTATTTCATAACAATGGATGTTTAATATCTCAAACACATAGAGTACAGTTGGGCTTAGGGCTCTGAGAAGAAAGAGAAGGCAAGGTGAGATAAGAAATGTGGCTACTGGAAATGGGTCCTAATAAAGGCTTAACAGAGGCCCAGGATTTCATGTGGGCAGCTGAAACCAGGATGACTCCAGAGCCTAAACATGACTTTTGACTAAGTCAATGAGCTTGCTCTTGTACACATTTGAGCCAGGCATGCAAGAGAGTATAATTCAGCTGAGTGATGAGACAGCCCATGACAGCACTTTCAGGCCTGTTGAAATCAATAAACCCAGGGAGTGGGAGTTTCGTGTTTCTCCAGGAACACCATAGGTCATGTTGTCTGGGATTTAATGGTCTAAAGGATGAGAATGGGAGCTAAGGGATTAATTGTTTGACTCTTCATTAACCCAAGAAAACACAGCAAGACACATTTGGCTTCCACACAAAATCATACAAAATTCTCTCTTTATTAAATATACATTATTTACAGTTTAAGTCTTTCTTCTGTACAACAGTAACCATAGAAAACAAATAAATCTAAGGCTAACTTTTATTTTTCCCCATACAGTGTATTAAGACATGTTATGTGGTCTACAAAACTGACTTGGAATGAGGCAACATCACTGGGGATTCTGTCTTAAGAACAAAAAAGGTCCAAAGGAAAAGTTAGACTCTAGCACATCTACAAAAGTGGGTGACCTGTTTTGTGCTTTTGCCATAACAAAAATTCTGACACATAGTTTTCAGGGGGAGAGGTTATTTTGCATTTTATTGTTTATTTGTTAAAAATAATCTGCCCACTCCTTCTAATTCCTCAAAAAAGAGGGCCACTCCATGCCAGAGAGAGACTGATCTTCCAACTGAAATGGGCATGGTAATGCTCTGTCATAGTCCATGGGCCAAATCTGACCTATTGCCTGTTTTTTTAAATAAAGTTTTATTGGAACACAGCCATGCCTCTTTGTCCATGTATGGCCCACTTCCTGCTACAAGAGCAGAAGTAAGTATTTGCAACCAAGACTATCTGGTTTGCAAAGACTAAAGTATAGAACATCCAGGCTTTTAACAGAAAATGTTTGCTGACTCCTTACCTATTAAATCCTGGAGGCAGACTCTTGGTTTGCCCTTAGCCTGCACTTGTATTCCCAATGACAACCTGCACCCTTTTCGCCTCTTCCAGTTGACTGAGGGAAGTGACAGCCTAAGACAGCACAGGGTATCAGGAGGCCTGTAAACTACCAGCTTCAGAAGGAGAAAAGTCTTGGTGTTGGACCTCACTAATTGGAAAGTCCCTATTACACTATATAACTATCCTGCTTTAAAGCAAGGTTTGATATTTTTTGCATGAGTATTTAAGGCAGGGCAAGGTTATACAAGTTGACACTGCCATTCAAAAAGAAGAGACTAGTTAATATTTCATGTAAAACCTTCAGGGTGGGGTTGACTATAATGGACAAATATGACTAGGCAGATGCCTGTTAATATTATCCCTTAACGTTTCACTGAAAGTTTCTACTTATGGGCCTTCCAATGAGTCTGCAGGGAAATACAATGCTCCTCTTGCATGCCCAGAACCTTGTTCATATCCTCTGAGGCTACTGCTGGCATCTGAGGCATGCAAGAACATGATGCAAATGAAAATACCAGGATTTAATTACTGAAACACTTAGATTCGCCTTTGGTCATGGTCTAGTACTGCTCTCCCAATTTTATCCTGGTATTTTGAAAAATTTTCCCTGTGTCACTGGGAATGATTGAGAAAGCCAGTGTTCCCAAATAGTGTTAGATGGTGGGTCCCTGACAGTATTCACTGTTAGGGATGGAGAGTATCATATCTTTTTATAATGTGTCATGCCTATGGCAGGACCAATGAAGGGGAAAGAAGGACCACTAGACTGATTTCAGGACCTCAAGCCTTCCACACATGGGAGTTTTGATTCGAGATAGTGGATCTAAAGAGTTTTTTGACATTTTCTTTTCCTTAAAATTGTTTCTGGGTATTCAACCTGGGCAGGGTAGATCACTGTGGTGATAGCAACTAAAGCATCCTGAGAAAATCTGGATGAAATAAAAATAGTGAAAAAGAAAAAGATGTGGTTGGAGTAGGGCTGGGAAGGGTCAATAAAATGTCATGCAAAGGTAGGTAATGAATTCTTCATGCATACCCCATGATATTGCCTCTTTCCCTAATGTGTAAGACAATGATCCAAATGTATTGAAGGGACTCCTGAATAAGGAGCCAAGAAAGTGGGAAGAGCTGCTGCCACTGATCCATGGTGGGAGCAATGACCCTCCACACCTGAGGCAGTCACTGATTGTTGCCACAGATTCCCTCTTCCTCCTCAACCTGTTCTCGGCAGGTGTGGTCAAAACACCAACACCAGCTTTTGCCTTCATCCTCGTTCATGTCTGTTCAGCCACTTGTAGTCTATAAACATTACAAAAGACAGACAACTAGCTTACAAAGTACAATATTTCACTAAAAAAAAAATGTGCTTTTCTGTTCTTCCTCAGAGTACCTTAATGCAAAATAAGAGAAAAATCACTCAAACATAGCAAGAGTTCAATATTAAAACCTTATATGAAGGTTTCAAATAACTGCCAAGTCAAAAGGAAATTTGTCTATCCCTACTAAACAGATGTGTATATAGGATGTCCTGGAGAAAGCTTGACTGACAGCCCTATTTTACAAAGTCTTTGTGTGTCTGTTTACACTGTTTTTCCCTTTAAGGGGTTCAACTATTCAGGATTTGTGGGAGCAGAGATGAAAACTGGGGACACCCAAATCTACAAACTAGATGTTCACCAAGTAAGGGAATGGGTGAGGGGAAGGGAGGACAGATTGAGAAAGAACCGAGAACAGTATGTGAAAGAAATTCAATTACACTATGTGTCTTTTAAAGAAAACGTTTTCAAACTGCATGAGAGACATGAAATAGCACTCAGTTATCCTCCATGTATTCTGAAAGTTTGGAGTTTGCTTACACCTTCTTCCATTAACCACTTTTACATCTGCAGGAACAAGGAAACCTCTTTACTTACTACGTCCACTTGTGACCTGTAGGATAAATGAAACCTAAGTATGTCAAAACCTTTAGGTTAAAAAAAAAAATGAGTAGCAGAGCTACACACTGTCTCAAATTCCCCTTGGCAGGCTGGTGTTACAATGTGGATTTGATGGATTGCAGCTATGGGGGAATTCAAAGGAAGCCAGGGCGTTCGTGGACAAACTGTCAAGGCTTTTTATAAGAAAGATTTCAACAGCCTGATTTCTATTTCCTTGAATATCTTGGAGAAGACACTCTATTTTAGCCTCCCAGTGTGGCTCCTCTAAGTGAATGAGCTTCCTGCAGAGAAGATACAGGTGTGACTTTCAGGACTGGCAAAACTCACCCAAGGCACGGAGGTGAGACCTCACTTAGATGGACAACAACTTTTAGTCAGTTATTTACTTGAAGATACTTCATCTGGTTTTCAGAGATCATTCTAAATAGAGTCAAATGGTTTGTGGGGACAAAGAAGGGTTTTAGGAGGGGTGGAAGGATGGCAGAAATCTTAAGGGACATTCGGAAGAGCAAATGAGATGCAAGAGGTCATAAACACATGGCTTTGAAAGAACAGAACAAAGAGGAGGCAGGGAGTGGAAGTAGAGATTGCTGTCCCTACCCCATGGAGAGTCCCCAAGCCATCACTGTCAGGACTGACTGATGGGAAGGAGGGTTTTCAGAATCCCCCAACCTGAAATGAAGAAAGAATGGAGAGAATTGGGCTTCTTCCAAGGTACTTTACAGACAAGGATCATCTTTTCTTGCTGTTCCTAAAGAGTTAATCCATCTCCCTCTACAGAAAATAATATCTGGATAGATAGATATTTGCTTTGAGGAAGAGAAACAAAGCAGTTTATTGAAGGTGGAATATACAAGAAAACGTTATGAATATTTTCCATAAATTTATCTGTTTAAGTCTCTAGCTAAGGCTTTGCAAAAATGATTGTGCAGGACCTTTGCTCTACATTTTATAACACTTTTTGTGTACCCCTATTACAATAATATATACCTGCCCTGATAGACTTTAAGCTCCTCCAAGGGCAAGAACAAGGTATAATTTATATTTGTATAGCCCATGTCTATTGCAACCCTTGGTGTACTGAGCATCAGTAAATACTTCATGATGAATTAAGAAAGGGAACAATCTATTTCTTTTGTTCCAATCCTGCTCCTGCTACCTTGTGGTGGGCATGGGGCTAATAGAGGGTGGAAGTCAGGTTAGTATCTTCTCTGTTATTACTAAAGGGCATAGAAACTTTAAAAAAAAATCAGTCCCATATGAATAAATAAACTAAAATCTCCCATATGAAGTTGAGAGTGAATAGAAGAGGCTAAGCTATCCATAAATATATATCTAGAGAAGTGACAAATGTCTAATTCTCTAGATGAATTCTCATAGAGACCATGGCAGTCGAACCTATATGCACAATGAGTGATGCAGTGGGTGCTAAATATATTTTAGGGTAAGCAAATGTCCTGTTGTTCACATAAAAAGAAAGGCTTGTTTGGTGGGAATTGTATCAATAAAATATTCCCCTTAGAATGTGAAATTGCACAGTGCTTTTGGTTTTGCTGTAAAGTGACCACACTCCATAAAATCTGTTTGTAATCAGCAGTTACCAATGACTGAGGGTTACAGTGGAGGACTATGGTGGTCCAGATGGCAGAGCATGTCAGGAACCTTGACTACTCTTACCCAGTGGTTAAGGAGGGGTTAGAATGTTTTCAACGACTATTTGTTTTAGATTATAATCGCTCAAAGATCCAAACACTCACACAATTGAACAATTGCACAAAACTACATGGATTTGGTACCACTGAGGAAAGACAGGCAGAGTTAGCACTTATTATTGAGTGAAAATTGTGTTTTGCTTTGGAGGGAGCAGCTTGCTTGTTTCCATATACATCTAATGAAAGTTAGTGTTCTGGGGTTATGAAATAATCCAACCCTGTAAATGTAATTCTGCTTTAGCCCTGAGACTCTACTTGTAAGAGTGATGTGCTGATTGCACTGTCTTGGCATCGGTTTCTGGGTCTGTGATGTCATTGTGTGTATGTATACATCGTCTACATACGCGGGGAGGCGAGCTGGTGGATTCTGCAGTGCAGATGTGGCAAGGATAGAGCTTCACAGAGTCTTCACCCTACAGAACTACCTATGAGCATATATAAGTAGATGGGGAAAGCAAATACTCTGAGTCGGCCTTTGCTAGTTCTCCATTTCTTCTGTCAGCACTATGTCAGCAAAATATAGTCCTCACTTTTCAGAGGCTTGAATAATGAGGGGTTCCAGTTTTATTACTCACACCTTCCTTTGCCTTTCCAATTCATTATTGGAGATGCTTCAGGCTAAAATCACTGCACTTCATGGTGATTTTTTTTATTTCAGGGGACAAAGGACTCTGTACCCAAGCAAAAGCCTGATTTATACAGCCTTTTTATGGAAATAGAAAATTCAAAAGTGAAAATTGGAAATAGGGGTGGATAGGACAGGATAAAACAATATTTAAAGATAGTTCCTCTTATTAGTGGATCATTCATCTTATTAAAAAAGCTGGAAGGGAAAAAAAAAAGATGCCCATGTTGGAATCACTTTAAATAAATTTACTAGAAAAATGATATAATGAAGTGATTAAGAATCCACAGAAAGTTTTAAGAAGAGAATATATACTTAGAACAACATCATAAAGTTGAGAAATATGATTACAAGCTGAATCCTTACCCATGTGCTCAGACACTGAAAGAAAAGCCTGAAATGGATTTGAAATGAGATGGAGCTAATGAGTTCCTCATTGGGAGCCTGGCCACACAGGGAAATGTTAAATAATCAGAGGCGATAGATGCTCTATGGACAAGATGGAATGTCTGCTAACTGTCAAGACTGGCAAACTGCGATGTGCTAATTGTTTCCCAAACCGAATCTGTCTTGTAAAGAGAATCGGCAAGTACTTTCCACATCTGTGGATCATTATATTGGCATTCCCAGCATTCTGGAGGATTGATATTATTTTCCCCTTCTCTTTTTCTCCAAGATGGCCCAGAGGCAAAAAGTTAGACCTATTGCCATAGCAAAAAATGATCAGGATTCTTACCACCACCTCGTGGATAAGTTCGAGATGCCTTCTTGAAGGAATGACTGTGTTTCTTTGAAGCTTAGTTATCAAGAGGGGCAAAGACCCTGAAACTTACTATCATCTTATCTTGCAGTCTATGCCTACAAAAAGATGTGTGTGGGGGCCATTATATACATAGGGTGTAGATGACTTGAAAATGTGATGTACTGTAGAACCTATGGTCTCCTCTGAAACTAAGCAGTGAGGGTTCGCTAGACAAACCACAATGCCCCATCAATCAGTGTACCCAGAATGTCACAGAGAATGGCTCCATGGACAGAGGAGGGTCATTGTGTCTGCCTTAAAACATGAAATCTGCATTCACTTTATTCACAAGATCTTTGGTGAATGGATGGAAGGAAAGAATCCTGCTTGGTATTTCTCTTCTTTCATGCAGTTTTTTAAAAATTATTATTTTGTTTTTGTTTGTTTTTAAAGCTCAGTTAAGATGGTTTAAGCTCTTTCATGGAACTAGGTACTATTTTAGACTTTTATTAGAATTTCTTTGTGCTGCAGTATATATATACCTCAGTATAATAATCCCAGGAATAACCTAGCTAACATTTCTTAAAAATTTGGAAGAGGCATTTTTGAAGTTATAGAACATCTACTTCCTAGCAGCTTTCTTTTTTACCTCCTAGTTTCAAGCTACTATTTTCCATGCTTCCCCTAGGTTTATGCTATTGTGTGCTGTTCTAAAGTGTCAGCCCCAGGAGAGAGTGGTAAGAAAGGAGCAAAGGAATAGCTCACTACTATCAGGGATTGTATATTTGAAATACTCAGGGGATAAGAGTCAAAGTGAAAAAGGGTGATGAGTTAGGGCAATGGGCATCCGATGGTAAGGAAAATCAACACAAAACAAACTTCTCTTATTCCTTTGAAAGTGCCACTGAAGCGAACCAGGCCTTTAGCATCTTCTTTCTTTACCCTGAGTTCCCTGGTAGGAATGAACTTGAGATGAAGGAGGATGTCAAGGATGAGTGTCATACGCCTAAATCACAGAGCTCAGGTTCAAAGTAAGCCCGAGGTTTAATGCAAGACAGAATGGCTGTGGAACTAAAAAGTGCATCTTACTTAGAAACTGGAAACACAGAACTAAATATGCACATGTGCACACATGTGTCTCTTCTTTGTCTAGAGGAGTAAAGTCAGTCTCTTAAGTGATCATTATCACCACAATAAGTTTGTCAGAAAGGAAGGCAGTGGCCATAGCTGCCTGGTCTTCCGGGCTGGATCAAGGGGATAGATGCTGTGGTTGATACAGGTATGTGCCAAAAATAATTGGCAAACAGATAGGAAAAGGAGAATGACCAAAATTAAAAGATAGGAGAAAAATTTAACAACCCGAAAGAGAATATTAGGTGACCCTGCAGTTTCTCAGATGAAATATTCCCGTTTACACTCGCTCACTGTGTTTTGCAAGTCAATGTCATTTCTAAAGGAACTGTCCAAATTTTCTGGGTATTCCTTCTTCATCTGGTTAGTGCGGTGTGACTGCTTATGCTGGTAAAGGAACCGGGTCATGATGCCGATGATAGAGAAGATGATGAATATCACCACCGCTATTACTCCTGTCGATAAAGAGGAAAGAAAGAGAGAAGGAAATCATCAAAGATCATACACTCAGAAGAGATGATTCAGTCTAGACAGGGAAGGCCATTGGGAGAAAGAAACAAAACAAAACAAAACAAACAGCAACAAACTCTGCTGCATGCCCAGAGCTGAAGACCAGCTGAAATGTGTTCAGTCTTCAGTTACTAAAAAACCTCCTCTTTCAGACTGGGCAGGAAGAAAACCAGTCTAAACTGGAGAATGCTATCATACGAATATGGGCTCAGACTGGCAAAGGATTTCTTAGTTATTTCTTCAAGACTTGATTTAAAGAATGTGACAGAATCATTTAATTAGCACATTTGTCATGTTCAATCATTTGTCATTTCTTGCAACTATTTTAGAACTACTTTAGCACCCTAGAAAACCATACTGAAGTATCCCAGACCTCAATACATGCTCTCCTGATGTAAATTCGTTTAGGGTATGTGTTCGCTTTGCTAAACATGTTTTGTTAATAAAGAAATGTTTGCCAAACATGTAGGGCATTCCTACACTGCTGTTCACTCTGCTAGGGATGGGACAGTTCAGAAACGGTATGCTTCTGTCGTTCAGAGATTCAGAGTCAACTGAAATAGCAGACTTCTTCCAGTTAGGTCAGATTTCTTCCTGATTTGACTGCATGTGATGTTTTACTGCAGCTACTGGGCAAGTTGCCCTCACTGACTCGAATGAAGGTCTTGTCCCTACCTTTGCCCGGAAGCCTCTAGGGATGCAAAGAGCAAAGTCAGCAAAAAGAGGGTGACAATGTAGAAACTGGTTACTTATAAAGAGAGAATGTTTCTATACACATAGGATTTTCAACATTAAAATATGAGAAGTATTTATGATATTCAAATATAAGTTTATTGCCAAGAAAGCATATATTCTGCTGTTTTTGTTTTTCTTTCTAAGTAGAATGGATAGTGATGAACTGTGTTTCTTTTACAAAGATAGTTTTGGACATCCTGCATTCTTATTTACATAAGCATGGGCATTTGAGAGTTAAATATATTTGCTGCACATTTTCCACTGCTTTGTATCAGAACTGGGGCCATGATTAAGACTGTTTACTTTCTTTTCTTTTTCTTTTTAATATTCAGAAACCACTATGCAGCATTTTCCCTGGCTATTTTAGAACAAGGCAGAATAAAACCACCTAAGTTAACAAACATGAATAAACTGGGTGGTAGTGAGTGACTCCCATGTTTGGCTGCAGCTTTATGAGATAAGATACAGAATCAGTTTCTACTCCTTTAGTACACAAACTGTTCAGAGTTGGAGGAGTTTTCCATAGGGGTTGGGATGCCTTTCCTGCTCTTAGAGATTCACAGAAGCATGTAACTGGGTGGGAAAATGTCAGCAGTAACAAGTCTTTTCTCCCCTTGACAAATACGAAATTGTAGGAAGAGAAACAGGCACTACATTATTTCCTATATTTTTTGGTGCCAAACAAAAATCAAGTTGGACTCTTTCCCCTGAAGCAGAAATTCAGGTCAGACGTTTTAAGAGCTTCCTTAAGGAAAGTTCATGGTTTTTGTTCCTCACAACTGCATTGTAATGGTGCACTTCTGTGCTCCCACAACCATTTGCACTTCCTCCCTCAAAACACCATTCACTAGTTCTGTTGTCGCTGCAGGTTCATTGTGGACAGCCTCCATGGCTTTCACCCATGTATCCCTATACTTAGCACAAGGCCTGACCTATAGCTGAGACTCATTAAATAGAAGTTAAATTAATGGATACTGCTGACTTTTAAAAGAACTCCATCTGGTGTGGATCAGTTAATCTAGCCTGCCAGAGGCAGCGATGGGGGGCACCTGCTAGGGCTATGGTTCTTGGATGGCAATGAATTCAGTCTCTCATGGGCATCTTACATTAAACAAGGTTTGGGAATCATTCTGTGTTGCAAGGCCCAGAAGGGAAAAAACAAGCTACTGGAGGCAGAAGCCAGGCTGAAGGAGGACCAAAAGGGGTGAGTGCAACAGGCAGTGAGAAAATGGAAAGACAGGGGAGGTAAGAGGGAGAGCTGAGCTCACAGCAGAGCAGACAAGATCTGTATCTGTAACCATATGTGCTGCTGGATTCAAAACTCCATTCCTGTGGGCTTCACTCTGCTCATTAGATCCAACCCAAATCACTTGGTGGAGAAAACTGACAGGACTGGGGCTTCACCCATCTGTCTGCCCCAACATGGCTTCTTCCCATATGTTTTATTGGTGTGCTTTGTTTGTACTTTAGGAAAACTGACAACTGGATGAGCTGAACAGGGTGCACACTGCCTGTCGCTAAGTAAGTGTTCCAGCTGTTGACTCAGTAGTCAGCTGTCTGATGGATCGGGGCAGAGTGCATCCATGGAGCTGTGGATGCTGGGGGAGAGGGCACCTTTGATCATACAGCACCCATGATTATTCATGAAAAGGCTCACAGTCTTGCAGATCATTGCGAGGTTCTGGATACTAGACGGCTATAATTAAGGAAGGAATCAAATAAATTTCTCCCAAGAACAGAATCATTTGTCCCCTCTGCTTTCAGCAACAAGGAATGATTTACCTCCAATGACGGCCGAGTCACTTCGAACGGCATTAGTGAGTGGTTCTCGCTCATCCGTCTTCCCAAAGGGATCTGCAAGGAGTAAAAAGACATGGCACTTCACTACTCACTCTTTATACAGGAAGGAGGTGTACAATATGGACTTGGGATGACACATCTGTGGGTTAGGCCAAGTACTCTCAAACAGTTGAGTTTGCATTTTTTTAGGAACCCGAACAAACATACACACAAAAAGTACACAACTTCCACCTCATAATTCTGTGACTATTAGCTTCTATGTCAGCTGTAAGGTAATGGGCTGAAACAGAAGATGGTAGAACCCACCCATATCTGCTTCCACCTACAGTTACCTCTTAGCCTAACCTAGAGGTCCCTCTGTGCTTTGTTGGACCCTCCCTCTTCATGACGATGGTCTCTTACCTCAAGCATGCATATGCTCTCTGCTTCAGAGGTTTCTTTAGCTGCACAAGGATTTGGAGTCCATTGACAGGGAAAGGCAAAAGTGCTGGAGGATTAATACCCCCAAGAAACCCTCACTGACAGAGAGAGGGATTTCACTACACATACATTAACATATATGGTAGAAGATAAAAGAACATCAAGTTTGAAGGCTCATAGACCTGGATTTGAATCTTGCTCTGCCACATGTTGGCCTGGTGACATTGAGCTAGATATATTTTTAAATAGCAAATCTGCAAATGTATTAAAAGGGGGTAATAGTACACATGGAATTTTTAGGACCTATGGCAACTGGCATCAGTATCCCTGTATCCTCAGGAAATACCTACAACATAAGTATTATTTTTCCCACTTCACAGATAAGGAAATTAGATCGAAGTTATTTAGTAACTTGTCTGGAGTTCTACAATTCATCCATGGCAGAATCAGAATTCAAATCAAGGCTAGTCAACTGCCACATTTTGTTTCCTTCTATTACACCTCACTGCTGCCAGGAAAACACCAAGCGTGGCGATGAGTAGGCAGCAGCAAAACTCAGTCCCCCTTCTTTCTTCATGATTAATAACTTACGTGACAGTTGATTACCACACTTGATTAAGACAAATCCCAGGGACATTTCAAGATACTCATGGTGATGGTGATTAAGGAAAGACAGAAAAGGTATTTTAGGGAGTAATAAAATAAGAGAAGATGTATGGGTGATAATGCTGTGGGCTTTCCTATTATTATGGAAGGCTGATTTTAATCACATGAATTATATTAGTTCAACAACCAGCCTGCCTCTCTCTGACCCTAAACTCTTCGATCCTCAGAGCGGTAGTCATTATATGTATATTAACATCCCCTGGTAATGCCTTCTCTAGTTTTGCCCTTACATTCTCCGCCTTCAACACCCATGTAAACCTCACTAGTTTATCATCCCTCTCTTCTTACTGGAAAAGGAAAGAAACCATGTGTATTAATTTTATGTAGGCAATATAACAAATTACCACTATATATATATATATATATATATATATATATATATATATATATATAAAATATGCATTGAGTTCTAACTACTCACCATATTAAAAGTAGGGTTATATTCAATACATATAAAATTCAACCATGAGGAACCAGTCATAATTCTTAACTACCTGTAATCATATAAAGTAAGGACTTAATACTGGCCTTTAACCTAGAAACTTCTTGAAATATCAGAAGTAGTGCTATCAAAAGAAGGCAATTTCCCTGGGTATTCTCCTGTGTACCTGGTGAAGAGTGCACTGTGGTCACTGCATTCACATCCACATCCATTATGGAGCCACAGCTTGATTCTGTCAGGGTCCCATGGACAGTCACAGGTGCAATGGTGGCATGACGTAGGGCTGCCTTCAGGGGTGCAACCTGGTTATACTGGACTGAAGACAAGCATCCAACAAAACCCAGGGTGTTGGCTTTGGCAACTTCAGAATCCAATCCAAGATGCTCTGCAACATGAAAGACACTCCTGCGTTTTTTGTTTGTTTGTTTTTCAAACTATGGTCTATATCCTCTTTAAATAATGTCTAAAATTAAAGAACTTACCTTATAATTCTTTGAGTAAGGGAATCCATCCCCTGTCTCTCTTTGTTTTCTCTTCCCAAATCTTAACCTCACACTATAAGCATCAATTTATCAACCACATATTATAGAGAACTCTTAGGGCCATCTCTGCTTTGAGATAACATTTCAAATTTCTAAATTCTCATTCATGCATTTTATGAACTGTAACAAAGACTTAATAAATCTGTTCTACACTATAGATGTTTTATAAAATTTATTTCAGTATCCCCATCACTATTTATCTGTGGATGCTGAGGATTAGTTCAAGCACACTACAGTGCTCATTACAATATTGCACTCAAAAATGTCACAAGGGGGGGAAAAATGAAAAGAGGCAAAGAAAACAGAAGTCAAAGTGGCCCTTCCAGAAGTTTCTCACATTTAGTGTTTTAAGTTGCCTGTATAAACTGACCATCTATTCAAGATTTTTACCTGCTTAGTTCTGTTCATGGTATTGATTGTGGAGCACTGATTTTCTGATAGCAATCTTCCAGAGTATCTTTGAGTCTTTGTAAAAGGTGAAGAGGCAATCATTTCTGATTCTCAGCAAGATCTAATGTCTTATTTTCTTTGAGATTTGAATTAAGATTATTCAGTAGCCCTTTTCTCTCTTTTAGCAAAGATCATTTGAACAAATTGCTAAGACACAATTACATAAAACTGCAATACACATGAATAGCTTCTTTTTTTTTCTTATAAGGTGTAAGAGTTTCAACCTACGTAGATGGTTCAAATAGTTATTTTATTATGATAATCTGTTTATTTTCTGGAAAAGGGCAAGGACTTTCCTCTCCACCCAGCAGAGATTATAATTTGTTTCAAATCCATAAATGGTCAAAGTGCCTCCATGTATCTCTAAGCGAGAATTATTTTGGCAGGAATGTAGAAAGAGATGTGATGAGAATATGGAAGAAAAAGAGAAATTAACATCCCCTGGTAATGCCTTCTCTAGTTTTGCCCTTACATTCTCTGCCTTCAACACCCATGTAAACCTCACTAGTTTATCATCCCTCTCTTCTTACTGGAAAAGGAAAGAAACCATGTGTATTAATTTTATGCAGGCAATATAACAAATTACCACAAATGTAAACAATTTAAATTAAACAATGTAACACAACACAAATTGATTGTCTTATAATTCTGTAGAAGCCTGACATGGGTTTTACTGGGCTAAAATCAAGCTGCTGGCAAGGCTGCATTTCTTCTAGAGGTTCTAGGGGATAATCCGTTTCCTTGCCTTTTCTAGCTCCCGTGAGCCACCCACATTCCTTGGCTTGTTGCCCCCTCCCCCATCTTCAAAGCCAGTTCTGTTACATGTCTTTGTGTCATTCCTCCACAGTACAGTACTGCTTCTAATTCTCTTCTGTTGCCTCCCTTTTTCACTTTAAAGACTCTTGTGAATACAGTGGGCTCAATCAAAGGTTCCAGGATAATCTCCCTATTTTAAAGCTAGCTGATTAGCAACATTAATTTCATCTGCAACCTTACTCCTCTGTGCCACTTAACCTAACATATTCACAGGTTCTGAGGATTAGGACTTGGGTATCTCTGTGGATCATTATTCTTCCTACCACTGCATGTCTGAAATTCCATGAGAATTTTCCAGGTAATGATGAAAATTCAACAGAGATGTAAAGTGACACTTCTTCAAAGGTAAAAGAACATTGGGGTGGGGGGAGGAAACTGCTTATTTCCAGATATTCCAATAAATACCCTACAGTAGTGGTACATATTTGTTACTCATTAAAGGATCACACGTATGTTTATTTCTTAATACGGCCTTCAAAAGACTGTCTCATAAGAGACTTTTTGAGCATTGTTATGCAACAGTCTCCCAGGCCAAAAAGCTTTCTTTAATGAAGACTGGGTACTCTTGCCAAATGGCACTAGACCTCACTGTACCCAGCTATAATTCCAAATGCACATTCACTACTGATTGGTAATTCTCAAGGGGTAAAGTTGGAGATCAAAGCATTTAGAAGAAGAGGCAGAAGACAGGAGAAGAAAAGCAGAAACTGGCATGAAGTTTTCGCATTGTAGGATTTCAAAGCAGTGGAAAGTGACATGTCACTGTCACTATTCCTTAAGGGTCTAAGTCAAAAGTGCCAGATCTCATTCCCAAAACGCAGTTAGAAAGAAGCCTATATCAGGGCCAAGGTCCTTGGAGGACATCACTATAGTGACTATTAGGAATACAAGCTCTAGGAGCAAGAAAAAGCACATGGATAAATTAGGGAAAACACAGAAAATGACATTCTCTCCTTGAAGAGATATTTTGAATAAAGTCTTATGTCTAGGAAAGTGAATTTATTCTAGATGTATAATAAAGATGGAAACCTGGGGATGTTTCTGAGAAGAAATGAAGAGACAAGAATCCCTGTTAGGAGAAAGTACTCGCAGTATGAGGCCTGATATAGTGATTTCTCAGATCTTTACATCTATGGAGAGGCAATAAATAAATAAATAAATAGATAAATAAATAAATAGATAAATAAATAAATAAATAAAATATTAGGATGACTCCAAATTATTTTTCTTTCTTATAACCTTGTTAACTAATATGTGGTAGGGAGTAATCATCTGCTAAAAGAAATTTAAAAGCTGCAAATACTTAATAGTCCCCATCTATTAAGTACCTATTATATAACTATGCAATAATTGTTTTTAAAGTATTATTTCTTTTTCCCTCAAATGCTCTTTCAGATATTTGTTAATATCATCCAAAATTTACAGAGGAAGACACTGACACTCAGAAAAGTTAAAAGATTGAAAAAAGGTATAGTAAAGTTGAGGCTCAACTAAAGTTGAAGTTATAACTTGAAATGCCAAACTTATTGGTTTGTTTGTTTGTTTGTTTAACTCTGTCTGTTCAATTAACCTCCCTCTGCTAGATACAGCTTGTTTGAATTCCAGCTCCACCACTTTCTGTGGATTATTAAGTAAATTAAACTTTCTGGGATTTAGTTTCTAAAACCAGAAAATGGAGATAGCAATGCTAACTTGTGGTTGTTGTCAATTCATTTTTTTTCTTTAAGATTTATTTATTTATATTAGAGAGAGAGAGCTCAAGTGGGTGGAGAGGCAGAACGAGAGGAAGAGAGAGAGAAGCTGACTCCCCTCTGAGTGCACAGCCTTGTGCTGGGCTTGATTTCATGACCCTGAGATCATGACCTGAGCTGAAACCAAGATTCAGATGCTTAACTGACTGAGCCACCCAGACACCCCTAATTCCTTTTATTTTTAACTGAAACTGAGTTGACATACACTAGTATAGTAGTTTCAGGTATATAACATAGTGAATTGACAATTATATATGTATATTACAGAATACTCACCATAAGTGTAGTTATCATATGTCACATGTTAGTACAATATTATTGACTACATTCTCTATGCTGCACTTTTCAGCCCTATGACTTCTTTATTTTATAATTGGAATTTTGTGCCGCTTAACCCCCTTCACCTATTTTACCCATCTCCCCACTTCCTTTTCCTCTGGCAGCCACCAATTTGTTTTCTGTATCTATGGGTCTGATTTAGTTTTATTTCTTTGTCTGTTCATTTGTTTTGTTTTTTAGATTCCACATGTAAATAAAGTCATATGTTATTTGTCTTTCTCTGTCTGACTTATTTCACTTAGCATATGACTATTTAGATCCATCCATCTTGCTATACATGGCAAGGTCTCATTCTTTTTATGGCTGAGTATTATTCTATTTTATATATATATGTATACCACATCTTTTTTATCCATTCATCTGTCCATGGATATTTGGGTTGCTTCCATATCTTGGCTATGATAAATGCTGCTGTAAAAAGAAAACAAAAACAAACAAACAAACAAAACTTGACTTGCTATATTAATTTGGAAACACTCATCTCTTCAAAGCGAAGTTACAACCCTGTATTAAAGGAAGTGGATTCTTTTAGCCACAGAATGTACAACACCTCACATGATCTTAACTATTTGACTCTAAGAGTGTAGTCGAGCCAATCCAGGCTAATTTTAGGCAGGAAGTTTATTCTGTGGAAGAAAAGATCAGCAATTTTCCAAAATAGACATGGCTCTAGGATGTAACATGATGTTTGCTCTATGGCAAAAGCCAATTATGAATTTTGAATCCTAAAGTGTCAAAATACAAGCCATGTAGCCCCATACAACCTGAGCTTATAAGAGTAAAGTGTTGTACCAACATAAAATATAAATAAAGGAAGCTGATATTAATGGAATGTATAAAGAGTATATACAAGTAAAGAGTTTTTCCCTCAAGAGTTCATTGTGGCTTTCACGTAAGAGAAGAGTAGTCTGAAAATGTAACTACCAGGAGTGTTGAAAGGCTAAGAACTGTAGTCCACAGATAAAGCTTTTAATCCTTAAAGGGGACTGTTAAACAGTAGTAAAAAAAAAAAAAATACTTGGCATTTACTTAATGCTTTATAATTTTCATGGTATGTTCATTTTGTATATCTTATGTAAATATTCATCCTTGCGAACTGACAAAGGGTGAGTTAGTTATATCCAATTACCAGTTATTAAAACTAAGACATAAGATCAATAAATTGTTTACAGCAAATTTAATCAGTCCATGGCCAACCCAGGCCTGAGACCTAGGTCTCTTGGACCTTATTGTCCATTTTTTCCCCTATTACATCAGATTTAACACCTTTCTGTAGGTATTGGTTGTTAACATGAAAAGAAACCTCACCTCTATAGCTCACTTACAGCCATTCACTGCCTAGAAGGCCTCTCTGTCCCCTAACTACCTGGATAACATCTGCTCCTTTGCTGTAAAACTTACATCTATTTATTGGCCACCTATGGCAGCCATGTTCTGTCTGAGACAGTGGACTTAACAATTGTTAGCATGCAGACATTTCCCTATCT